GTGACAGACCCACGCTGCGGTAACTTTGGCCCTGAAAAAGACCTTTGGTGTTGCAATCCTGATCGGAAGGCCCGTTTTGGGCGTTCGATTGCTGGGTTGATGGCAGTTTGTGACAAGCATGTAACAGTGGAGACCACGGGAAGGCTGTCATCCTCTCCACCAATATTAGGTTAAATTATCGCGTGAACCTTATATTTTTGTAAATTATATTTTGAAAGGATGCTGCTGTTGAGTAATGGTCAGCCTACTGGCTTTGCAATACTGATGTTGCTGGTTCGATTTCCTCGCATGGTAGTTGAAACTATGGGCAGGTTTCTGAAATCCCCTTGTCTTTATTCACCCATCAGTATAAATGGATCACAGTGAATTGATCAGCAGGTGGTGTGTGCGGGTAAAGTATGGGTACTCCCATCTCTTGCTTTGTCTGGCCATGCGGTGGGCGAATAGGAAAATACCAACTAGAGGAGCTGTACGCCTTTTGGCGTCCTCTGGTCTAACACCGTTTGATACGAGGCTCAAAAGAAAGCTGTATGGTGTGGACCAATCAGTTTCAAGGACAATGCATATATTATCAGAGTATATTTCTTGTTTGCATTCTGATCACAAGTATTGTGGTTAATGCAGACGTGATTCCTTGTAAAATGTTTAATTTTGTTGCCAGAAAAAAGGGAAAACCGATTCGAATAGAGGGGCTCTCTAGAGCAATTTCCTTCTATAGGTCAACTATCATCAAAAATGTAATCAGACCTCGATTTTAGTTATGAGTGGGACTTTTGACTTCGAAATGTGCAGAAGAAAATGAGATGTTAAGACAAGAAATTGATGAGGTCGTTCAAAATTGACATGAAAAACATAATTTATATTTCACATCGCTGTGAAAGATAATGTAGCTGTGTGGAAACGCGTGGTAAGATATCCACGTTGAGCCAATAGTACTTGGAAGTCTTGTTTAATATATTTCCAATGGTAATGTGTAATTCCAGTAAGCAGGGTAGTGTACAAAAAAATATTATTTGGCAATGCCACAATGCAATGTTGTGTTTAACCACATTGATTGCACAAACTATTTTCCCCCGTGAAAACTAGCACATAAGCAGACCCTTAAGAATAAGAAAATTTGGGTAAATGTGTCGCAATTAACGGCAGTACTCTACTTTAAAAAAGATATGAGGTTTATTTTAAACATGACCTTTGTGAAGCCTTTTTTTTTATATCGTATTGCATAGTGTTCTTACTCGAAAAGCAATGTTGCTGTGAATTACTTTGTTGAGAACATCACTTTTACCGAATGCTCTTTTGTTAATGTTCCTACTTACATCATGCAATCTCCGTGCAGTTATTCCATTTTTAAGGTATTAATTATGTCTAAGTATAATTAATTTAGGCCTTGCTTTGTGTCAATATCCACGAAATCGAATGCCTTTACATAGTCCACAAAAGCTAGGCAACATTAAGAATGTCTGCTGCATAATCTAATTGGAATATCAGTAATACAAATTTAAAAAAAACACACCAACTTCACGAGATGTTCTGCAAACTCATCAAATTTTGCAATACCATAAATTGTATAACTCGGTAATGAATGCTGCCACATTTGGCTCAGTATAAATGGGAAACAAAAACATTTATGTACAAGTTTGCAGACTGATTTCAGCACACAGGAAAATATGTATACCTCGGATCGGTATTGAAGACAAACTAACATAAAAATGTAAGAGGCTTAGAGAGTTATAGTGTTTGTGGAATGCTCAACTTTTAATGATAGACAACACGCCAGTGTTTTGTCAGTGCGTATTACTCATTATGATACATGGTTCAGAAATTAGAATGTAAAAAAATGACGTCAAGAAACAGAGAAAGGCACATGCTTGGAATTCGTAAGACAGGAACATATGGATTAGGGAAAATACAAGAGGTTAAAGACAGACTTTTAAGTGTTATGAAAAGTGGAATTGGATAGAACATCACGTGAAGGGATGATGGCTGGTGGTCGAGAATAATGACAGAGTGGCTGTCAAGGTTGGGAGTGCTCCGAGTGATGACAATCACTGACACAGGTGGCGATGGCTTGTGGAGGCCTTCACCCAGCAGTTCTTGGAACATTTAATATATTTTTATGAGGTCGGGATGGGAATGACCTGCAATTGCTGTGGTCGGTTAACCCTAGAGAGCAGCTGGGAATGGTGAAATACTCTAAATACTCGAAAAATCTGCGCTCCAATCCGGGAAATCTAAAATTCGCGGCACCCCCACGGCCCCGTGGGGAGCAAGATGTCGAACATTTGCCTATTTTCTGAATGTTTTACCACGTGTATAAAAAATCTATTGTATTTATCTGATACTGTTTTTAACATGACAATGTACTATTCACCTGCAACACAGATATACATCCAAAGTTTCGTTCTTAGGATGTTAAGGATATGTGGTGTGTCCACGAGTAACGCGATCTGTGCAAGTCCTGTTGGTATCTCACACACCAACATAACGCCTCAAAACTCAATCATTTGCTGTTCAGGGCGGTACAGGTGTCGTGTACCATAATTTAATCCTCAAAATAAAATTGTAAAGTAAGGTTAATTTAAAACAAATTAATTTTTAAAGGAAAAAAAATGTTAGGTCAATTAATTGGAGGGTCACAGGTCATATTGACCACCCTGTACAACGAAGCAAAAATATGCCCCTGTATTATTATAAAATTGTAAAGTAAGGTTAATTTAAAACAAATTAATTTTTAAAGGAAAAAAAATGTTAGGTCAATTAATTGGAGGGTCACAGGTCATATGGACCACCCTGTACAACGAAGCAAAAAATGTGCCCCTGTATTATGTATATGGGATTATCGTTTGTACTTGATCACAAGCAAAGTACAGTGCCAATATTCTATGAGCGTCAACACGACTGACCTGCAACGGGCAGCAATATCTAAATGCCATGAAAGGCAAATCCGATAGGTTTCGCTTTGGACAATTGCGCCCTCTGCTGGTTCCGAATGGACACTGCAGCTTAACTTTTGTATACATACTCTTTGGGCCTTTCGGTAAAGTCACGTAGATAGAAAAATAATAACAGTATTTCATTGGTAGTGTAGTGGTTCTCAACCCTCCGGGTGTGGTGTGTTGCGCCCCCACTCAGCAGAGGCACGAAAAGCCTTTTAGAGATACGCAGATGTGCTCTTGGATACCGTGCAGGAGAAATGTTGTAAGTGCACAGGGAACGTCAGCAGTCGGGACAAAATAAAATTAAATCGCCTAATTGAGGGGGGGGGGGGGGGCACCGATGGTTTTAATTGGAGGGGGGCATACCTAAAAGTTTCAAAACCACCAGTGTCCACACTCAAAAATAAATAGGTAAAAAGTGAAATTATCCAGATAAAATTTTTGCAAATTCATGAAAAATAATGATTTCCTATTTTGTAAATTAAATGTGCACCGAAAAAAAATGTAGTTGTGGAGCATGTGATATATTGGCTAGCACACTGCGGAGTTCTATTCCATTCCTGGCCATAGCCAACATGCACCATTAAAAAAATTCACTCCAAAGTAAAAAAAATGCAAATGATTGAGCTGTATTTCTTAGGTCAAAACTGTAACGCTTAAAATATCAAATCCATAAACGGGTAACTTGGAATGCTCAATATTCATGCACATCACTTGGAAGATTTGAGGCTTGCTGCCCTCCAATGCAGTTGGCCTAAGTTGCACCATGCACGTGAATCTGCACACATTGCCAGGATATGTTACAGTACCTGTCATGAAAAGCTGAATGTTACTTTTGAGATGTGAAATACCATTTTCATTTAGTTGAAATTGTAATCAACCATCCCCTCTAAGATTGGGCTCGTAAGTCAATTTGCAGTGTTGCATGTAAAGTGCACGATTAGTTAAGGTTGCTGTGGCATCAATGTGCAATAGCCTACAGCTACCTACCCACAGTTTTTCAGAGTATCCTTTACGCCAAACCCAGTGGCAGCTGTCCGTGAGCACAAGGTGATTTAGCATTTGGCTTGTAATCAGCCATTAGTCTGCCAGCAAAGGGCGATGACTGCTATGTGTAATCACAATGAGTATGCTGCATCGGCAAAAATTGCAATAAACATGCCTGTTAACCGGGGATTTCGACTTGTAGGATTGTACTATATTTTGGAATATTGAACAGACAAGCTAAAATATCAAGACACTGAACATATTTCCCTCTGCATCTTAACAAGGGAATAATTCATACTAGACCAGCAGAAATCAAATATCTTCCTGGATTCCATTATATGCCCAGCCATATAATGCATTGCACACCTGCTCTCCGTTTTAGTCAGTGGCGAGTCTCGAGCAGTGGTAACAAGCCCTCGCGCGGGGTCAATCTCAGGTTGTCCTTGGCCCCCTGCTGTTTGCAGCTTAACAGCCTCTTTTTGGCCACCTCATTGAGTGATTCCAATGCATTTGAAAGGATATCGGGGCACGCAAAGGCACCTTTGCAGCAATGGTTCTGAGCTACCGATCCTGCTCCGTTTCATGCAATTGACAATGAGCAGTAAAGCTTTTGCGAAACTTTAACAAACTTAACATCTTACATTGTGAAATCCATATTAAAGCATAATCGAATGTTGCACATCGGCTGCCAGCAAAAAAAAAATTGCAATCACATGGCATTTCAATTTTGAAATGTGTTCAACCATAAGGTTATACTGTGGTAAAAGTAGGCATGCATTGAAAATAACCAGCTCAACATGTCCCACCTTATTCTCATTTCTAATTTGTAAATGTGCACAACTGTCAGTATGTATGCATCAAATTTTGAAGCAGCTTTCATTACATTAAAAATGTACTAAAACCGTCAAAAACCTGTTTGCAAACACAAACTTTCCCTTCAAAACTAACGATTCAATGTTGTTGCTAATGGCATTACTGTCTACATTATACATTGGCCAAATAAAAGAGAACGACAGGAAAATCAGATCTTTCAACGTTTATTGAACATGGTTTTTGCTTCCACAACGTTCCGTTGGTTTACACGGGTTTTGGAGGCGGTGGCACACGTGGAGCCTGGGCCTGTAAAAACAAAGTGAATAAAAGTCTCACAACAGAACATTGATAGTTTTGCACTTGTAATATATATTGGATGTTTGTACTGTGCATACAAATAAAACGAGATGGCATGTTTTTTTCCAGAGTGAAAACTGGATCGTGACATTATTGTCCCAAAAAATCGTGTACGGCTGAAATGTATTGTAAAATGTCGTGCAAAAAGTAGGCTCAAGTGCCAATGTGACCTACCCCAGCAGGACGGAACCTTGGTGGAGGCGTGCGGTCCTTGCGTGCCTCTCTCGACCTGTTCCTCACCACCTTGCTATGGATGGCGCAGCTCACACAGTAGTGCAGCTTGGCATACAGCTTGGGAAGCACGTAAGCTGTGTAAAAAAGACACACCACAATTAATACAATTTTATAGTTTTAAAAATATTCTGCATAACCTATGTCAATTAACATTTGATATAACTGGATAAGGTTCGCTCTAAATGAAGCACTTGTCAATGCAAGGTCATGAACTCAAAAATTAACCCGTAAAAACAAAGTTTTTCACTCTAAATCCTTTATATGCGTGGCGGCTAGAGTCCTCTCGTCCTCTGGCTTGAGATGGCTGCTACCTATGGGTCAGATGATTGTCTGCCAGCATTAAGCAATTGGTAATTAAATATTTTTTAAAAATTTCCCTAAACAGTGTAACATTTTTGAAAAAAAATTTCACGAAAATTAATTATCACGCACAACGAGTCTGTGTGCAAAATGTCAGCTCGATTGGATCACGGGAAGTGGGTTAAAAAACGACCGAAAGATTTGCACGGTCGTAAGCAAGCAAGCGAACTTAATATAAAGGATTTTAAAAGTCCGGTTTATTGCACTCAAGTCACATTCATTTCTGGAGCGCAAAAATTAAAGCTATGGATAATGAATGCTGCAAATATGTAGTGAAAAACAAAACGTAGGACCCGTACACTCAAAGACGCTGGCCTCGGAGATGTCACGCACAGCTGCAGCCTCCACAATGTTTCTGATGACAAACTTTTTGATCGCCTTATCCTTGGGCACGCAGCGTGCGCAATTCGTGCAGCGCACCGGCTGCACATGGCCACGGCCCTTCTTCGCACGCCCGTTGTTCCTCCTCTTCTTAGTCTGGACGAGAATGTGGACAGAGGCACGTCAGCTAAATTCACAATACAACAATATTGCCACTTACGTTACCAATCTCACATTTTTGCATACAAATTTACTCGCATATTCCCATTATAAAATGTTGGTCACAAAGTCCATCTTAGCAACAATCATTTACTAGATTTTCTACACATCATTTTCAGTATTATCAGTTCTCAAGTGTATCTATTCATGAAATGAGATTAAATTGTACTTAACCATAAATTTACTTTTAATAACGGGAGCCTCGCTACTATCTCATAACACTAAGACAGTCACAATTCTATCCACCAAATTTAGAATGATGTTCACATTTGAAACAAGCCAGTATACGCATAGCTGTGTAACCCAAATTGGATATAAAACGAACAGTTGACTTAAATTTCCCAAGATTGAGAACTTAACTTTGATTGGGTAGGTACATGATATTTCATATGTATGGAGGCGTATACACAAACCACCAAAGCACACCCACCATCGACCATGTATACAAAGCTGACCGAGGCACAAACATGACTCACGGAGACGGCAGTACATTAAGTAAAATGCGTATTACCTGCACATTCAGCTACCCATAATCGCATTCGATATTGGTTTAGTGTTTTTTTCCTCTAAGACAGCCATGCCAAACTGTTCCTCTGAAAACAAATCAGAATTGATTACATTTCTTTGGTAGTGCTAGGAGTTTCGTTTAAAAGAGGAAGCTAAAGAGGAGTGGGGGAGGTTTTACCAACGCAGTATTAAGAACGGTCTAAAGAGTATCCCCACCCACATCATTGGATCACGAGCGCTACGCTAGCGAAAACACTATTTTAAAATCAAGGCAACGTTTTAAACGTCTCGTGAGTTTTAATTCGTAAGTAATTTAGCAAAACATTCCATGGATAGAGGGGGCATCCTCGTGAAGTGCGTCCTTAGCCGTCGGCACCGAGCAGTATTCCAGTTCAACAGAGCCAGTGCCCGTTCCCAGTGGCGGCACGTACGGTACAACCATTCGACTTCCAAGAGGGGCACTCGTTCGAGTAACCCCGGGAGAGATGCCGAGCCCAGTCGAAACGTCTCGTATTCTTTGGTTTGTCTCGTCTTAACCCTTAACAAGGCTGTTCGCGGTTTAGTATAAATTCACTAATTTAATCATAATCTGCGATTTAGCTCGTACTTTAACGTGTAGTGTCGTAACCAGTGTAGTGTAAGGCAAAGGGATCGTAGTTATTGTACAGCTTTAGTTTACTACTCTGTGTAGCTCTAAGTGTGTGTGGTATTGGAAATGGTACGTGTAGTGTCGAGTGCGCGCTAGCGTTATGCTACGTGCCGTCTGATATTTTATAGCACTGTGTATAGTGTTGCTCTACTTTACACATTGCCACGCATATCGTACGTATATTACGCGTAGCATATTATGAAGCGGTCTATGATTACGTGTCACGCCGGTTGCGTATGGACTATGATTGAAATCGCGCAAAGCGTTCTGAATGTAGTCAAAACCGGCCTCGCAGTTACATACCAACTTTAACTCAACTATTATCAAGAGACACTCGGCAATCGCTGCTCAAGGGAAGTTGCACGGTCCCAATCGCCACGAGTGCGATTGGGACCGTGCAAGCCAAACCACGTCCTACACAGTAAATCGCTGCGTTCTGCACTTTCAACTGAGCGATAGCAAAACAATAGACACTCTCTCTTTCGTCTGAGCCATCTCGCCGTGGCGAGCAGACCTCGACATTAGCATCGAGCCCCTGCCGAACACGCCGCCGCTATAGAAGACGAGGCCCCGGAGTGAAGCCCGAGCAAGGCCTCAACACATGGCGGCGCCGCCGCCGCCCCCAACACCACCGAGACAATTCTCGCAAAGAAAACTAAACGCGCGAACCGTAACACGGGTGATGATAGATCGATAAAGTTCAGTAAAACGGCGGAGTGTGTGTGTGTAAGGGAGAAGGGAATGTGTGGGGGTGATGGAGTCGGCGCGGAGGAGCGACGAGGCGACCCACCATGTCGGCAGCGCAGACGGGGGAGAAAGGAGCGCGCAATGCACTCTGGGAGCCACTCGAACTGCGCATGCGCGTCACGAGGGCGCAGGTTGGACGCCTTTAAAATAAATAAATAAAGAGTCGAGTCGAGACGGCGGCGCCGCGCGCGGTATTGTCCGACGATTCGGATCGTCGTCGTTTTTCGGTGGCGTCGCTCCTCGTGGGATTGTGTTGTGAGGCGCAGCGATACTGCGGTCGAGGTACAGGAGTGAAAGTGTACCCGGTGGTCCTACTTTACGGCGAAACGCGTCACCGGCTGAGATATATATATATCAATGCGCGCGACATCCACGTGCGTGTCGAGGAGGGGAATCGATTCGTCTGCGTTGTGCGCAAATTGCGCTGCGCGATTCCGATTTTGTCGCGCGAGTGCTGGAATCGAGGAATCGAGTCGAGTGACGTGGGCATGGAAGAACGGGGTGAACGAAATAATCTCAACCAACGTCTTTGGGGCCGTCCATAAATGACGTCACGCGATTTTGGACGATTTTTGACCCCCCTCCTCCCCCGTCGTCACACGGCGTCACAAAAAGTCAACCCCCCCCCCTTTAATATGACGTCACAAAGCTCTGCCTGCCCTCCCCCACCAAAAAAATATATAAAACATGCTTCAAATCATTTACACCACTGGAACCTCATTTGCCAGTAAAAAATATGATAATTATTTTTTTAGCCTTCTATCTGGCAACAAGGAGTCATGTTTGCATAGACCACAATACCTGCAGTCATAATGCAAACAAAAAACATAACTCTGATAATGTATGCACTGTCCTTGAAGTTGATTGGTCCACACCCGAGACAGCTTTCCTTAGAGCCTAGTCTCACATGGGTTGGACCAGATGACGCCAAGACGCACAACTCAAAGACAATGCACCATTAGAGTATGAGAGCTCGGGGCAAGCATTTACACCATGGGAACCTCATTTGCCAGTAAAAAATATGATAATTGTTTTTACCCTTCTATCTGGCAACAAACTGACACCTTTTTACAAGGAGTCATGTTTGCATAGACCACAATACCTGCAGTCATAATGCAAACAAAAAGCATAACTCTGATAATGTGCACTGTCCTTGAAGTTGATTGGTCTACACCCGAGACAGCTTTCCTTAGAGCCTAGTCTCACATGGTGTTGGACCAATGACGCCAAAAGGCGCACATGACTCCTTGTAAAAAGGTGTCAGTTTTGTTGCCAGATAGAAGGGTAACAAATGAATTATATTTTTACTGGCAAATGAGGTTCCCATGGTGTAAATGCTTACCCCGAGCTCTCATACTCTGATGTTGCATTGTCTTTGAGTTGTGCGTCTTTTGGCGTCATCTGTCCAACCCATGTGAGACTAGGCTCTAAGGAAAGCTGTCTCGGGTGTGGACCAATCAACTTCAAGGACAGTGCACATTATCAGAGTTATGTTTTTTGTTTGCATTATGACTGCAGGTATTGTGGTCTATGCAAACATGACTCCTTGTAAAAAAGGTGTCAGTTTTGTTGCCAGATAGAAGGGTAAAAAACCAATTATCATGCTTCAAATCGCTTTAAACTATTGTCATTGTTGTGCGTATTTAATGTGGCGCTACTGATGTTGTAGGAGAAAACATTTATTAAAAAGTGTATTTAATTAAGTAGAACGTGTTGTCTATATGTATTTAAAGTTGGGCATTTTGATGTGACGTCACATTTCTCAAACCCCCCCCCCTCGTCACACATCGTCACAAATGTCTGACCCCCCCCCCCCCAGGTGCGTGACGTCATTTATGGACGGCCCCTTTGGTTTATCGCGCCGCAATAAAGTTCAGTTCAAAACGAAAACGAACCCACTCACGACGTGGTAGTTCGCAAAACCGTAAACGTTCGTGAAGAAAAGTGGAACTTATCCAAAGAGTGGGCAAGAGGTGCACGGCCCGGGAATTGCACTGAGTGACATTGATGTGAACATACGCGCCCGTAGAATGTTCGGCAAAGGACGCAGGTTCTAGAGATCGTTGACTTTGTTAAAGTAATTGGGCTTCAGCGTTACCGTCAGCGGGTCCAATGTCGTCCGCATTGAGAAACGTGGGTTTAGAAATTTAGATTATTTGGCTGCTATGCATTTCCACGCGATAAGCCAATTCGTTGAGCTGTCATCTGCGGCCAAGTCGCTTCTGAAAAATTAACTAATAAAATAAAACAAAGTTTATGCATACTCTTTGGTTCTTTCGGTAAAGTTACGTAGGTATAAAATAAAATAAATCACGAAGTTTCGATTGCAACACAAGCAATCACATCAGGTGGGAAAACCACAGCAAGAAAAAAGGTTTTTTCGCTGAATTGGGAGAGACATCCAGATATATCAACACAGACATAACTTCAACCGAGAAGATGGATACAAATTGAGCAATCATTGAAGGATGTTATTAACCAGGTAAAACCCTAACTGCTTTGTAGTGGTTGTCTTCATTCATATCTGCCGGGTACTGGTCTATTTTTATTTATTATAACACACTTTTATTTAACTCACTGTTTTGTCGTATCCTCAAATCTTTTAACTCAATTTTAACCCACTTCCCAATGTGGTATCGACTGCAAACTTCGTATATTTATGTCATACTGATGACAATACTGTATTCTATCCAAAAAAAATAAAAAATATATTTTTTACCATTATTTTTTTATGTTATCTTTCGGCTTGGGTCTAATTGTCCACGCTCAACTCACGTTGCCTGTAAATCACCACGGCCCCTTACGTTATGGCAAGCCTTGCGGCCACTTCCTGGAGTCGTGGAGTTCTGCCATTACGAGTACGGTACATTTCATTAAAGCGTGTTTAAAAAAAAGTATTTTTAAATATTACTTATTCCGAGTTATCCCCCCCCGCATCCCTTGCTCTCTCGGCCTCCCACTTCCAGCCCCCCCCCACTTTCCCCCCCCACTTACCCCCCCCCGACTTACCCCCCCCACTTTCCCCCCCCCCCAGCCTCACTTCTCTCTCCGAGGCCGAGCGTCCACGCAGCGCTCCCCTTATCCCCCCTCCTCCCTCTCCCCCCTTGCCCCTCCCCCTTTCTTACCTATATAACCTCTTACCACGGCATCTTTCACTCCCACATCAGCAAAACAAGTTTTTCTTGCTGTGGTTTTTCCCACCTGATGATTGCTTGTGTTGCAATCGAAACGTCGTGATTTATTTTATTTTATACCTACGTGACTTTACCGAAAGAACCAAAGAGTATGGATCCTGCAGTCACGAAAGCTTCAAATCTAGATTAAAGTTTATACATATTCTGATCACCGTGTAATTTACTCTCCACGTGCTAAGATTGTACTAGCAGTAGGTGGCGGTAGCGTTCCGTCATCTTATGAACGCCTGCGGTAATGCTCATTTACAGTTCGGCTATCGCTGTTTTTTCTTTTGTCAACCAAAAACAATTATGAACCTGATGATTAATCCCTCCTCGCTGCAGAGATTCCACAATCCAGGGTTTTGATTTTATTTACTTTTTTACCGTCACATTTGCGTTTGTCAGTGTTTTGTCGTATCCATTGCTTTGTTCCATTTGGCTGCTAAATGCAATTTACATAATTTAATGGAATGAATTGTAAATAATGAATTTAACACATGGTTCAATCCATGTATGATAACTGTAAGAATGCAATCGATGCCTGATTTTATACATACAATTATCACCATCGTGTATTAAGATTAAAACAGTTTAAATATATGCTTGTGTCACTATATTCCCTTATATTACGTGCGAAATGTACGTGCGCAAGCCATGCTTGTATACTGCGTTATGTATAGTGTACCCATAAATATATGTACATGTGCAGGCTTTTTTAAATCCTTTATATTAAGTTCGCTTGCTTGCTTAGGACCGTGCAAATCTTTCGGTCGTTTTTTAACCCACTTCCCGTGATCCAATCGAGCTGACATTTTGCACACAGACTCGTTGTGCGTGACAATGCATTTTCGTGAAAAAAAATTTCCAAAA